CTGAAGTTTTCCCCAAGGGTAACACGTAGGGATGTCTGGCTTTCCCCCCTTCTTCACCTTTTTCAATAACTACATTCAGAGTGGGTGAATTAAAGCACCCAGTACACCTTACCATCCATGTTTTATTTTTGAATCAGTTGCTCACTGAATAAGATTGTAAATGACTCGTAAGAAAAAATGCTTTTAAGGTTGATTTAATTGCCTCTTAAAGGATCATTAAAACAAACACTTCTAAAAAGGGCCAGTCAGTCATGCCTGGCAGATGTACTGCAAAGAAACTTTGGCTTTCGATCATTGCTTACAATAGCCAACGGAGGGGAAAAATGTAACGTGTAATTGCAGTTTAATGGACTTGGCATGTTTCAACGAAGGAGAGGATGACTTTTAAAGTAATGACTGATCCAGAGAAACAGAAGTGCAGGGTCTTCTCTGTCTTTATGCACAGTCACAGTGACATCACTCTTGGTAACAAGCTGAAGAAGCTGGTACAGAACAGCTAGATGTAGCTTTCCTGCATTTTGAAGAGCTGCTTCAGCCTGAAGCCTCACAATTACTAAACAACCAACTTGAATGCTAAAACGGAATTGCCTGCGTAGGTCCCTTGCCATCTGGCTTCGTAGTAATCACAGGTCAACAAGCGAAGCAGATGCTGTAAGAGCCCATTCCATATGCAAATTGACGCAACTGGGAGAGACTTTTTACAAGTGCTGAGCTTGTGCTCAACATTAGTATGCCTTTTTACTCCCTGTCTCTAAAAGACCTCTTACTTGATTCTTAGGATGCAGAGCCCCGACAGTGCCATGTGAAAATACAGAATTCCTGTATTTTAAATGTGTGAACAGGTTAGTGTCTAACCTGCCTTGCTTGGTTGCTTGGTTGATATTTTCTCTGCTATTTGTGGGTTGCTTTTGCGTACAGCCACCAATTGTGTGCGGAATGTTAATATCAGATAGTTATTCTTTTGCCCGGCTCCGTAAGGATCCAACTCATTTTGTTTGAGGCCTGGCGAGATAGCACTTGAAGTGCATATAAGGTTGTTTCTATGGCAACTTCACAGCTGGATTAAGTAGCCCAGACCATAGCACATCATTCACAGGCCCAAACAAGTTATTTAGTGCCTTGATCAGCTGCTTGGACTGATGATTTGTAGAGCAATGGTTGCGATATGTATAAAAAGGTATAAAAATAGTGTCAATTACTAAATCACCACCTCATCCTATATTAAGCACAGTAACACCCTACATAATCCCAGCTCCCTATTTGAGATCAGCAAAGGAGCAGAGCTGATTTCTCTCATTGTAGCTTTGAACACACATCTATGTTGTTATCCATCAGCTTTCCTGACTGTTTTTTTTTTTCATCCAGTTAGAGCCAGGCACCTTCCCCCTGCTGTTGCTGTAAGGGACAGAGTTATTGAGTGTGTTGCAGTTCACCATAAGTACTGAGCGCATGAGAATTAACTAAATATTGCTATACAGAGCTAGAAAACAGTATTTTTCCAGAGTGGACACTGATGCCGTAATTTTGAGTGACAGTGATCTTACCATTTTGTTAAGTCTGGATCATAAAATTACTTGAGATTAAAAGCTGATTTTCTTTTGAAGCACGTGCAGCAAAGATGATCTCTATCCAGAGCCTTTTGTTAGATGCAGATAACTTGGGAAGCCAGAAGGGGAAGTGAGTCAAACTAGACTTGAGTTGAAACCTTTTGCCCCAGGGTTGGCTGCAAGTCATTTAGCAGGGCCAGTGTGATACATCAGGGCATCTCAGGAACCCCAGAGGAACCAACAAACTTCTCATAGGACAAACTGAAGCAAGATGAAAATGTTCATTTGCAGTTCTCTGCTGAATGCCCCCTGCCTGTGCAGCAAGTGTTCTGTGTGTGCATTTAAATCAAGGAAATGGGTTCATCTTTGCTCTTCATTTTGAAATTAAAAAAAGAATAATGTCCCCCTGGGAGGCTGCCTCTGGTGCAGGCAGCTGAGATACTGTGCAGTGAGGAAACATTTGAGGGTGTGACTTTGTAGCTGCAATTCCTGGTATTTCACTTGCCCTAGGAAACAACTTAAGCTTGTAGCAGGGAAGCAGCTAAAAATACTGCTCTGGCAGCGGTTCTGTCATTGCCTGTGTGAGAGACTGGCTTGCTGCCATTGCTACCTGATGTCTTGGAGGTCATTTCCTTCCCTGCCTGCAGGGAAGTATAAAAGCAGCTGAGGCTCAAGCTCAGCCCTTGCTGGTGTGTTGTACTGCAGGTTGCGCTGGCTCAGCCACTACCCTGCTTTTCTGAGTAGTCCTCCCCAAATGCTCTGTAGTTTTGACAGGGCACTTGGGCATGACTGGAGCTCAGGGTAATGAAGCAACGAGGTTTGAACAAGCGTGTGATGTTCGCAAACTTGGTTCCCTCTTTCTGCCACCTGCCAACTTCCTGTCTTTGCTGAGAGTTTTTTAAAATGGGACGTCTCATCTGGACTTTGGAGGCTGAGCAAAGATAAAACGACCTAGGCAGACTCGCCATGTGGCATGGCTGGTGCACAGGCATCATGCACTCGTATTTAGGGGAACTCGCAAGAGGTAGAACTTGGGCATGGAGCCCTGCCGGCAGAAGTGACTGGGGGAGAACTAAGGGTTCTTGCCACTTCTTCCTTAACTGCATCTAAGTCTGGAGAGGAGCTTTTTTACCCAAAGGATAAGATGCTAGACTGGCTGAACAGCCATGTGCAAGTCTCCTGTCCCTTCCCTGTCTCCCTTGCTTTTATGTATGGACAGTCTTTCCTCCAGCGTTTCTGCACAGCAGCCAACCCTGTGAGACTGCTCTGAGCTGGGGACTGTAACAATACAAACAGGGAGGAGAGCGCATTTGTTGGGTTTGTAACATATATTGGACTGCTGCTGTGGCCTGTATGGTCAGTCAAGCTGGAGCCATAAGCTGTGCTCTTCAGTTTCTGGAGGGTGATGTGGCCTTAAATTTGAGTGTATGTGCATAGAAGTGTACAGAGAACTGCTTCAAAGGCCTGTGTGGTCCCCACCTTCCTGAAGATGTTTTGCTCTTAGCCAGTGCCATGCACTTACACCCCTCTGGTCCCCCAGGTATCTTGAATACCTTGCATAGCTGGCTGTTAACAAGCTACATCCCTCTTACCTGTGGGGGGTGTTCCTGGATCAAGTACAAAGCATATCTGACCCTACAAAGAGAGATCTGCTCTTTCTGGGTTCAGTGGCAGCTAGTTCCCTCCTTCTAGCAATTGCGCGAGAAGTCGACCCATTTTTTGTGTGTGTGGCACCAACAGTTAGTGTCTACGTTCCTCTAATCCTAGCTGCCAGCTCTGATGTTGTAAAACTAAGTTCAGATGGGGGATTGATTTTATAATGGGTGGATGTGATTTTTTTTTAAGAAAGGTTTCTTACATTTAAGGAAAAAGCCCCAAAAACTAGACCCTTTTTCCCCACCTAACTCCCTTCTGCCTCTGTTTGCCATGCAGGAGTCTGAGTCGGAGAACAAGCTGGATGGAGAGACCGCATCAGACAGCGAAAGCAAATCGGAGTTTGGAGGGTCAGCTCCAGTACCTACCTCTGATGACACTCCTGAGGTCCTCAACCGGGCTCTCTCCAATCTGTCTTCAAGGTAGAGCTGAGTAAATTCACCCGTCCTTCCGGAATCCTGAGCAAAACCCTCTTTCTCCCCCTTTCGCTAACAGTTACTTCACTAGACTAGGTAGTGTGTTGGATCCTGTCAGCTAACAGAGATGAGGAAGTTATCTCCTTGGGATCATCACCTGTTGGGAAGTCTGAGGCAGAGCCAGGAAGGGTTCTTGGTTTGCTACCTTGACCCGAGAGCCATTCTCTTCTCTGCATCTCTTTCCCCACCTTCTGCTTGTCATTTTAGGTCATGAACTCTTGTGGTGGGGAGACATGGCCATTGGCTCTGTTCCAGGTGCTACCTTACTACCTTACTACCAGGTGCTACCTTAGATCAATAGCCATGATTATTCTTAAAGTGCTGCAAACTCGTAGAGGCTGAGAGCATGACCGAACTGCAAAGGATCCCCAGGGTTCTCTCCCAGGGTTCTGTATTCAGCTGTCCCTCTGCAGACCAGGACCGAGCTAATGTATCACTTGTCTTCTGCACTGTAGGGAAGAATAAGATCATTTCTACTAAACACCACTTCCTGCCAGTGGTGCTCGGTGGGAGAGTGTGCAGAGGAGATAGGAAAGCAGCAGAAGTTACTCTTACTAGAGAGGCGTCATGTGCTGATTCACATTCTTGCTTAACATTTGAACTTTTCTCTCTCTCTGCCCTAGATGGAAGAACTGGTGGGTGAGAGGCATCCTCACTCTGGCAATGATTGCCTTCTTCTTCATCATCATCTACCTGGGGCCCATGGTTTTAATGATGATTGTAAGTTTGTCTGGGAGACACCTTGTCACGCATTTTGTGGTACGGAGTAGAGGGTCATGAAGCATGTGCTGCTGGCGGTGGGGTATAGTGCCCTTCTTGCCCTCGGGTTGCCACAACGGCCCTGGCCCTGTAGTTGTGCCTAGTAGGCCTTGCTACTGAATTAGCCTTGTGGTCAGCAAGCTTCTGGGAAGAAGCATTCCACGTCACCAGTGCTATTTCTTTGGTAGGATCCACCTATTTCTTTGATTGCTCTCATAGCTTTTGTGTGTTACTACAAAGGTTTTTTTCTTGGGCAGTGTAATTGTACACTTGTAGGTCCCAGGTTTGGGTACTCCCCTATGGATTGTCCCTCCACTGGCTTTTTGTCATGTTTGAAAAGCCCATCTCAAGTACAGCAACCATGTCTCTGCTACATGTTGCCTCCTGGCAGTGATCCAAAAATGCCAGTCTTCTTGAATTCATGGGATTAGGCTTGGTGCTTTCTGCTAAATTGTACCAGTTGCACGGCTAGCAGGGTGGTGTGGTCTCCATAGAACTGACCTTCACATCATGGAACCATTTGCGTTCGGTGCTACATAGAAAACTCCAAATGCACCCGTGAGCTTTTACAGTTTAGATTTGCCAGCTGCAAACTACACCGAGATTCAGGCTAGGAATGTGCTTTGCCAACTAAGCATCTGAGCCTGAGCAGCTTGTCCTAAACAGCTTGAAGAAAGTACATAATTTCTCAGTCTCAGAAAGAAAAGCCCTTTGTCAAATTTGGAGGGAGTGGGGGGAGGAGGTGACAGTTAAGAGATGATCATTTGCTTTTTGGCTTCATTAAGCTCCTCCCAGTGTCCACACTTCATACACAGACCTCCTCACTGAGGTTTATAGATGAACTTAACCAGGACCTAGTCAGTAACATTTAACATTTCTTCTGTAGGTGATGTGTGTGCAGATCAAGTGTTTCCATGAAATCATCACAATTGGCTACAATGTGTACCACTCATATGATCTGCCCTGGTTCAGGACGCTTAGCTGGTAAGCAGAACAACTGGGAAGTCATCAGCTGGTTCATCAGTGGGTGATACTGCGTTTCCTCTAGAAGCATCCCAAAGGACATGCCACCTCCATGATATTCGGTCACTTCTGGGCATTGTGTCCAGTAGCCTTTGTTCCACTGTTTGGTTGTCTGAGTTCTGAATCTCCCAGTCTCTGAAGTGGGGAAGCGTCAAATGGTGTCTCCAGTTGAAGAGAGGGACAGTATGGCTTGCCCATTTCCCTTCTTTCATCTGTATATTTAATCCCTGGTGTTTCCACAAGTTGTTAGTGTGTTTGGGATGAAACAGGGCTGGCTGTGCCCCACTGCTTGTTACATGGTTAATGGATTACATGGAAGGAGAGGCACGCTGCCTTTAGTAGCTAGGAGTTGAGAAGTCTGTTAAGCAGCACCACCTACAGGCAGTACCTTTCCATGCATCTCAACAGAAGAAGCTGGTTGGGTTAGCAATATACGGTAGGGGTTAAGAGGCGCTTGGGGTGTTGCATCTAATACATATAGAAGTCTAATGTCTTAGTTGGTGTGAAAAACAGAGCCTCGTTTCTTTTAAGACTTTTCTGTACTAGGGTGGTGGTTCCTGTCTAAAAGGAGTGTGCATCTGTTCCCAGGTATTTTCTGCTCTGTGTCAACTACTTCTTCTATGGTGAGACTGTCACAGATTACTTCTTCACTTTGGTGCAGAGAGAGGAGCCTTTGAGAATCCTTAGCAAATATCACCGCTTCATTTCCTTTGCCCTCTACCTAACAGGTATCTAAAATAGTTTCCTGCAGACTTCATGTGGATTCATGTGGTGCTCATTTTCAATCTTGCATCCAGCCTTCTCTACGCTCATATCTCCCCACCCCAGCACAGGCTATTTTTTTGTGAATTTACTCCTCCAGGTGAAAGGATACTGCACGTACAGCCCTGTTATGGGCTTATTTTGTATCTGAGGGTCAAATGAGACTCAGCCTGCCCTTGAGATGCCAGAGAGAACTTTTTAAAAATATAACCAGCGCAGAAATGTACCTCCAGAGCTCTTCTTTCGCTGTGTAAATGCTCCCTCCTGTGCAATGGAGGTTGCAGTAGCCAATTGAGAGCTCAGAGTGCCACTAAGCAGGAAGCAAAGAACCTGTCTTCAGGTGTCATTCCATGGACTTCATGAAGATAGAAGGTCCAGGAATGAAAAATTAAACTGTTGTCAGAAAATGTCTTGCGCAGGGGATTGTCCTTGTTCATTGATTATTTGTATCTAGGGTTTTTAATATATTATGCGTTTTGATGCATTAGACTGCTTTTGTGCCCACAGTTGCACATCATCATAATGCTGCGACTTTATCCTGGAGCAGAAGCAATGAGGAGATGTTGCAGTGATAGTGAGAATCATTTTCTTACTATTGCAAGATCTGATCTTGCTCTCTGGTTTTGTTTTTCTCCACCCTCCTCTAGGTTTTTGCATGTTTGTTCTGAGCTTGGTGAAGAAGCACTATCGTCTCCAGTTCTACATGGTAAGGTTTGACCAACAGTTCAGCTTCTCCAGAGTTAATTGTGCCTGGATACAGAGAAATGGCAAGGCTGTTTGCATATGTCATGTAGAAGAATGCAAGCTTATAAGCACTTACCTGTTACCTGTGCACTTTGAAGCTGCCTGATGCAAATGCCGTTCCTAGTAGCTGACACTGGGGAGGTGGCTCTGACCAGACTTCTTCCAAACTCCTTTTTGTCTGTGCTTGCAGTGCAGTTCTCCTTAACTTTAAGAGCAACTTGAGCTGAGATGGTGCAAACCTCATATTGTGACAGTAGATCACCTTGCAGGAGTGGTCTTAATCCCCCACCATCGCTGCATAGCAATGCACACTGCCACATAGGGGAGGAGGTTTGAGCTGGTTGCTTCCTGCTAGATGCTCATGCCTTCTCTGTATATGGATTCTTTTCTCCCTGTTCTCCTGTACCCAAGTGGACTGAGAAGTTTAGGAGAGGTATTGAATAAAAAGCCCTTAGGCCAGGCAAGTTAACCATTACACATGGGGTAAGACTTATCATTTGTGGCTTATATTGCGTTCTTTCCTGAGGGTATCTAGGTGCCTGACATACTAACCATCTGTTCTCTAAATGCTACTTAATCGGCATTCAGTTTCTGCTGCAGGCTGTTGTGAGAAATGTCTTTAGGCCAACTGGATTGCATGCTGTTTTCTCTTCCAGTTTGGTTGGACCCATGTGACTTTGCTAATTGTTGTTACCCAGTCACACCTCATCATTCACAACCTGTTTGAAGGAATGATCTGGTGAGTTGGTGCTTGTTATGAGTTACTTCAGTTTCTCTTGACTAATATGCACTACGGCATACAACGTGTGAAATAAAAGCATCTCACTAATAACCTGCATGGGGTAGGGGGTGGCTTCCATCAGAAGTGGTGTATAAGCAAACCAAAAAAAAAACAAACAGCCCCAAGCCAAATCCCCAGTCCTTTCTTTGATGGCTTTGTGAGGTTGGCACGAAAGCCATCCTACAGAGGGACCCATTGGTAGGAAGGACTCCCCCTGGCAGCAGAAAGCCAATGGATGTGGTTTCATCACTGCCTCTGCCTGTCAGTGTGAGAAGGGGAGTGGGAGATAGAAACAATCTATAAATCTTCCTAAGCTTCTTTCAGCTGCTGGGCACAGCTTCCATGTTGTGTATTTGAGCATGCCCTTAACAGCCATCTTTCTTAGGCCAGCAATAATGAAAAAGATGATTTTTTTCTGGGCCTTGTTATAGTGATAGAGGATATATTGTGCATTCCAGAAGTTCCCAGGATGCTTTTCCATGTGGAGAACAGCTTGCTCAGTACTAAAGTGCTGCCAGTAACAAGATGAAAGAGTGAATGTGTAACAGCATGTGGGATACTGGGATGAGAAAAAGTATGACTTAAATAGAGTAGGGAAGATGAGGGTGTGGGAGCTGACATTTAGCTGTGGTGCCCTGATTAACACTCCTTATCTTTCCAATACAAGGTAGTCAGTACAGTAGGCTGGAAGAGCACCAAGTAGGTACAGTCTGGATGCTGTTACAGAATAATTGATAGTGTGTGAATAATCTGGCTGCTGTGGGATGGTGTTGAATGGCTTTGCTTTCCTCCCTTCTAGGTTCATCGTCCCGATTTCATGTGTGATCTGTAATGACATCATGGCTTATATGTTTGGGTTTTTCTTTGGCCGCACCCCACTTATCAAGGTGAGTCCTGAGTTTCAGTTGTCCCAAGACACGGAATGAGACTGGTGCAGTGATGCCTTTGACACAAGATGTAGCCAGCTAGAGCAGGGGAGGGAACTGTTGGGCTCTAGGACTGAGACTAGCACCAGCAGACAGTAGTCTTTAGGAGACCCCCTGCTGACCAAGTATGATCTGGTTACGGTATGGTTTTGGCCATTCCTCTGCCACGCCTGCAGAGAAGGTGCTGCTAGAGCAAGTCATACCAGCTTTCCATTTCCTGGGACTTGTCTGTGATGGGCATACTCCCAGAAGGAGAGTTTGACCTAGACCAGGTTACAGGATGTGCCCTGGGCCATGGCTAGTTTATTGTCCCTGTTGAATTTCAGTTGGAAGTGGGCACTGATGGGGCTCAGTGAGGCTGATTCTGAGGCACCCCTATGAGCTAGGCTTTAATATACTGTTCTTTCCCTTTACATTGCAGCTTTCCCCAAAGAAGACCTGGGAGGGTTTTATTGGAGGCTTCTTCGCCACAGTTCTGTTTGGACTGCTGGTAGGTAACCCACTATGGTATTGGCTGGCTGCCTCTTCAGAATCGGATGCTGGTGCTGTCTAGCAACAAGAGTTAGTGGTGTGACAGTGGTACATACAGTCTTTCTGTGGGATAAGTGAGGGGGAGACGGAACAGTTCGGGGACTCAAGTTGCCAAGATATTCTGGGTTTTTTCCTCATTGCAGTGCTTATTGCAAGCTGCCTTGGTGGTGCTGTGTACTCCAGCTTGTTCGTGCAGTGACTGATCACCACCTTCCAAACATACAAAAAAGAATCTGTTCATAATCTCGTTAGGCAATTACTGCTTCTCAAGAAAGCAAGCTGCATGACAGCCCAAGAATATGGCTGACTTGTAGCGCAGCACCTTGAAGTTCTCATATGAAGGTATATCTGTTCCTTCTTGTCGGGGCCGAGGGGCTGTAGCCAGCAGCCCGGGCACGTGGGCCGGGGAAAGGGTCGGCACGGCGAACTAGAATTAGGCACTGACGCGTAGAGGTTGATTAAAGATTGTTTTACTTGCACGGTAGGTGGTCGCGGTGCAGGCAGGAAAAACTTTCTTGAGTTGCAGTTACAAAAAAAACCACACACGTGGAGTTTGCTAGGCTCCACGGAAAACACACGAGCGGAGTTTGCTAGGCTCCGCTTAAACGAACACAAACAGAGCTCTGGATACCACTCACGGAGTTTGCTAGGCTCCGTGGACTGTCCGAAATGAGAGTCCGAAAGGTGACTCTCCACGAGCACGCAGGGTGGGGTACGTCGAGGGATCGTGTGGAGATGGGGAGAGGCTAGAGGTTGATCAGGCCCCTGTATCCTCCTCTAAGGCACGCGCGGAGTTTGTTAAGCTCCACAGCGCGCTTAGAGTTCTTCACGAGATGGATGTGAAGTCCTCCAACTTGGGCGGAAACCGCTCAAGCCTCTTATACGGCTAGCAAGCCAATCGCTAGCCGCCACGTGGGAATAATTTGGAAACAGCCAATAGTAGGAAACAAATTTACATATGGGTGGTGGGAACGCCTTTGCACCGGGGTTTTCTCTATGCAACTGAGAATTGCACCGTGCAAAGAAAGCTCCATGTGGCGGGAAATAATTCTGCAGTGCCGAAGCGTGCACACAATCGTACCCTTTGGGTCATGACACTTCTGAGCCCTTCATCTCTTTTTATGTCTCTTCTTTTTTCCACCTCTTTTCCTTTCTCCCCATCCCAGCTGTCATATGTTATGTCTGGCTACCGGTGCTTCACCTGCCCTGTGGAGTACAACAATGACACCAACAGCTTCGCTGTGGATTGTGATCCATCTGAGCTTTTCCAGCTGCAAGAATACAACATCCCCCTGGTGCTACAGTCAGTCTTGGGCTGGGTAGGACTCTACACTCTGTATTCCAAATGGCTCGGTAGATGCTTGCTTGAGAGAGAGATGCTAGTTGGGCTGGAAATGCCAAGAAAAGAGTGATTTTTAAGATGCTGTGGAGGAGTTAGGGTAAAACTGAACCCCTAGAAACAGGCTGTATTTTGAGACCTGTTTGCATAATGGTGAAATGAGCAGAGTCCAGCTGGGGCCAAGCTTTGTGGTAGGTGAAGCCCTGTGCCTTCTGAGCTCTTTCCTTTGCCCAATTTACTGCTTTGCTTTCTGAAGCTTCCTACCCACAGAGGCTCCCTGTGCTTTCTGTGAAGTGAGTAGGAGTTTCATGTCCAACGAGCTGAAACAAGGAGTAAGATCCACACCTGGTTTCAATCTGTTGACACCAGTGCAGTAAGAACAGGGGTGAATGTTCTTTGTTTAGTCCTTACACACTTGGGGACTGAGGTTTGCCTTGGCAAATTTTTCTGTCAAAACAGACATGATGATTATAAAAGTTTCACCCAGGATTTCTGCAAGCACTTATGATTTTGGGTGGACAGGTGAAAAACACCTTGCAGAGGCTAGATTTGTTTGGGGGTGGGGGGGGTGGGGGTTAGTTTTTTTTCCCCCCAGAGCTTAGATGAGCAGTGTTTTTCCCCATGTCTGGCATTCCAGGTTGACTAGACAAAGTCACTAGCAAACCTTTACCTTGGGCTCTAGAAAGCCAGCGCCAAGTGCAGTGCTGTGCTCCATGGGAATCTCTTTCTAATGTTCTGACTCCCCTCCCTTTCTGTAGAAAACAGTCCGGATGTATCCCTTCCAGATCCACAGCATCGCCCTTTCCACCTTTGCCTCCCTCATTGGGCCCTTTGGAGGATTCTTTGCCAGTGGGTTTAAAAGAGCCTTCAAGATAAAGGTACAACACGGGCACTGATTGCCGTGCATATGAGACTATTTTTGTCTTCTCAGCAGAACCTCCAGCTGAGAATATAGCCTCATGCAGAATAGAGGCAGTGCATACATACATGAATGTGCATGTGTATGTGTATGCAGTAAATACAAGTAACTAAGGTTTTTAACTGCTGTCTGCTTGCCAGGACTTTGCCAACACAATTCCAGGGCATGGTGGCATCATGGATCGCTTTGACTGTCAGTACCTGATGGCTACCTTTGTCAATGTGTATATTGCAAGTTTTATCAGGTATGGCTTTGTACTACTCGATAGCAGCACTGAAAGGTTCCAGCTGATGTCTAACCCTTGCATACTGCAGACTGTACTATCTAACACTACAAGTCATTGTCACAAGGAGCTTAAAATCGAAGTATAAAGGTTGAAGATTGTGAGGGGGAAAGTCCCAGGGTCATGGAACAAGCTAGTCACAGCCGGGTCTAAAACCCTTGTCTGCTGCAACTTTCCATGTGATTCAGTGTTAGGCTGTTTACCCTTCTTGCATTTCTCTTTTTGTGAAATGGGGAAAGCTGCGTAGGTTCCCTTGAAACGTGTTTTGGGAGATGTGAAAGGAAGTGCCATCATAGGAGCATGGGGTGGGGATTCCTAGGTGTAAACAGTTAAACCTGTGCTTTTAGCTGAATCTGAGCCATACCTATTGAATTGTCTCAGCCCAGATACAGCAATAAACTGCTCTTTCATTGTGTGTTCCAGGGGTCCTAATCCCAGCAGGCTGATCCAGCAATTCTTAACCCTCCGGCCAGACCAGCAGCTCCACATCTTCAACACGTTAAAGGCACATCTGGTTGACAAAGGGATGCTGGCCAATTCAGAGGATATGTAGACATCCTGGCATTTGGAACAGGGCTGAGAAGAGGGCAAGCAATCACTTCCCCAAGGAAATCCCAGTTTGCCTGATTCAAGACAGTAATCACAAGGCCTCATGTCACTGTATTTTTTTCTTCCCTTGTAAATGTTTGCATTTGTGGGTTTCTGTTTTTTTATAATGCATATTTATATATATGACTTTGGTTCAAGTCAGCCAATCATTATGTCTAGCTGGGAGGGCATCGGGGTTGGGAGGGTTGTCCAGCAAAAAGCATCTGACAAGGCACAAAGGTTCTTGTAGTCCTGTGCACCTGTTGTTCTGGATGTGTGTGGGCTGAACTTGACTCTGCTCTTCTGCACTCCCTCAGGGAGCCTGTTTATGCTGGGAACATGGGTAGGAGTTTTCTGCACTAATGGAAGCTCCAGTAAAAGCAGAACAGCAGGCGCTGTTGCATCTGTCTCTAACCCTGCTAAGCTGTGTCTATACTAGGACAATTGGGAGCCACACAACTCCGCCAGCGGTATTTATATAATATAAAGAGGGCGCTGTTCTTTGATTCCCCGCCCCCCACCCCCCAGCCCATCTCTAACCCTCTTTGGCTATGTATATGTTCAGAAAGCAGGGGACCTTTAACTCCCCGCTGGTGGTAGTTGTTACTTGGAGTCTTAATTTCTTCAGTATAGCCTGTCCTGCACAAAACCTTCATGGTGGTAGGGGAGTAGAAAGTTTGAGCAATCTGAAGGGAACTCCTGTGCTTATCCAGCTTCAGGATGTGTGTGTTGGCTAGTTACACAAGCCAACACACACATCCACTTCAGCTTGCTCTCTTTGCAGGGTCTCCTGCATTCTGCCACTCCAGCAAATATATGGCCAAGACTGTTGATTCCAAATGTAACCATATAAACAGAAAGACATGGTATATCTTTATGTGAGGGGCGAGTACCAAGTGTTGCTGTGGGAGGTTTAAGTTGCAACTTAAATCAGGAATATTTTTATTTTTAAAATACGTTAAAGTTGTTTTGTTATTGAAGAAATCATGCTGAACAAGCTTTGAAAGGTTCATGGATTCACTTCTCTTTTCATGTCAAGCATATTTTTAACACTGGGGCACAAAACCTTCCCTTAAGTAAGCAACTCCATGCCCTGAGACTTTTGGCATGTTGGGGAGCAGTTTCCAACCCACGTGGCTTTTTCCAAGTGTGAAACTTGGGTGGAAGAGCACCCACCCAGCTGTGTTATTTCACAGGGTTTTTTTTTTTTTAGATTTTGTTCTATTTCCCTTTCAGGGGTCATGTCTGTCAAACGCTACTTGAGTTCTAGATGTCGTGCTGCTGAGGTTCACGGTCTGTGTTGCATTGCAGTTTGGGTTTGGTCAGCTTGCAGGCTTTTCTCTAGCTTTGTTCCAGTAATTTTGTTCCAGTATTTGTCTTCCTTACATTTCACTTAGCATTTGGGCACGGGTGGTTGTTTCCCAAGTATGTGCCCTTTTATTTCTTCCGATGTGCCATCAATTAAAAAAAAGGAAAGGGGAGGAAGCGCTAAGACCCCAGACATTTCCACACTTGATACTGTTTATGTTCACTATTGATCTCAAGTGTTCACACATTTTAAGCATCTTCATGCATCTTATCTTCCTATGATCTTTCTCCACAGTTTGCAGCTGAGGCAGGCTATGATGTGTAACTCTAGCTGTTTGAGTCTGGGGAACAGTTGGCAGGGAATGAAAGAGAGATGCTGTCACTGGTGTCTTCAGACAAACTCTTTGCTGTCTCTCACCTTCCACACAAATGTGCATTTCATCTTGCTAATCTCCCAACTGAAACAAAAACACCTGGAATAATGTTGTATCCTGTCATTCTGTTCTGATGCTAACATTATTTACACGTGCCACTAGTGTGCATTTTTATCTGTAGCAAACACTGCCACTTCCCCACATAGAGAAACTACAGAGGGCAGAGATGCATTTGTAGCATTGAATACGCAAGGAACGGATGGGGGGGAAAATGGTGTTTTTCCCAGGGTGGGAAGAAGGCAAGGTACAGCCGAAGTGGGATGCAATTGAAGTCTGGTTCTGCCAGGTGCTGCGTACCCACAGCTTCCATCAAGGGTGCTGAGCCTCATCTATTAAGGGTGCTGAGAGGGTTTAGCTGTGCTGCTGTGGTCTAAGGTTAATACAGTATGTAGGTATGTGCTTCAAGTGCTCTTCTGAATGGGGGCTTAGCCTGAGTCTGTCCACTGAAGTCAGTGATAACCTTTCCATTCAGCCCCTGCCTTGATTTCAGGAAATATCAGGAGGTTGTTTAATATTAAAGTAAAGCAATCTTGCCGCTGTTCTTGGTGGTGTTAGGGGATATTCACTTGCTGAAAGCACCTTGATAGGTTGCAGTTTTCATTACTTGCAAATGAGTGAAAATATGGAAAGTGGCTGAGCTGGCACAGCTTCCTGGAGACTAAAACAGAGCTCATGCCATGGTAAAACAAGCTGATGCTGCCCTGCATCCTACCTACCCTGTACCAATATCTGTCCAGCACCATGCACACTGAGCTTTTGGGAGCAGATGAGCTGAAGCACATATCAAATAAGCTTGCCATACTGTGTTAAACCTGATTACAGCGTATTGATTTGTAGAAAGAACCACTTCACTTGCTTTTCATCTGAGATGTGAATTGCTGTCCCCTTCATTCGTTCTCTCCCCCCACCCCCTCATCCCCATAATCCCCAGTTATAATGAGCAGAACTGGAAAAAAAAATCTGGGATGTATGTATGGTTTTAAACAATAGGATTTGTTTGGGCGATTTCTGTTAAATGTTGCCGTTCTGGCAGTGGCCACTGGAGGGCATAACAGCTTCTTGGGTGCCTGCCTGTTGATCTGACTGTACAAACTGGTTTGATTAAAAATGTGCATGGATTTCTCAAGTTCTCAGTGCAGGTTTTCAAAGTTCAGTCTTCTGCTGTTCCACAGCTTCAAAGTGAATTAAGTAGAGACCCAAGGGGAGTTGTGTGTGTATAGGTGCTGATAAGGTTTTCATGTTCTGACTTTAAGAGTGGTTGTCCTTACATAGACAAAGTGCAACAGGGCTGACAAGAAGTGGACAGAAACTTAAAATCTGAGGGGCCGTGAGGAAATTGGATTGTGTGTGCGCTCTATGGCCAGTCTTCCTGAGCAGGACTAGGAGGGTAGAGATCTGTCTGCATAGCTCCAGTGAGCCATGGAGTCATGTTGACTGCAGGGTTCTGGGATGGAGCTATAGGGAAGGCCCACTCTCTCAAATATGCAGCATAGTTCTCTGTTTGGATTAGACTCAAAATATTTCCCACCAAAGAAGATCTGCTTCTGCCCAGTGCCTGAAATGCAGCGTAGTGAATATGTTTGATATTCTTGACAAGTCCTAAGCAATGCTTTGCTCTTTCAATGTCAAGCTGGTATCCTGTCCAGCAGGGAAGACCCCAATTGAGAGGCCACTTTTGGAGGACTTGGAGCTAAGTGAAATGGCTAAGATTAGATAGGAGGTAACAGTTACTATAGGCGCTGCTGTTTAAAAACCTGAGACTGATCAGTGTCCTTTTTTACTACATAACCAAAAACATAGCTACATGCCAACTAAAGTGTGTGAATTTTGAACACTTGCATGCACAGAAAAAGTCTGAGCACTCCAGCAGCTTTAATGTCTCTGCCTCATACAATATTGTGCAGGCAACCAGTTCCTTCCTGATAATTTTTTTCAACCCTGCAAGGAAAGTTTGTTCCTAATGGAAGTTTTTCCAGACTTCAGGGAGAGAATGAGTTTCTGGAAGGGTTTTTTATGGAGCTGGTGCTAGCGACAGGCAATAGCGGCAATGGAGCAACATTGGCAAAAGTTCAAGTCAAAGTTTCCCTTCTCTTCTCCCACAAAAGTCAAGACCTCTTGATTGTTCCTATGCTCTGCTCGCTGCTGTGAGGCCCCTGTTCAGTTAGAGGGAAGTTGCCTATGCTTGCTGTATAGCAAGAGAGAAACCAGCTGTGAATGCTGGAGATCAGATGACCGAGAATTATTCAGCAGGTCCCTGGGTTGCTTGGGCTGGGTAGAAAATGCCTTTCCTTATTCTTTTGGAGGACTCTGAGCTGACAAGGGGTGGAGTTCCCTAGCTGTCTCTGTTGTGGTTGGCTTTTGAAGCCACGTGCTAGCAAGGCCAAATGAAAACATCAGAATGGCTCAAAGGAGTCTCTAGACTGCTTGAATAAACAAGAGGAAAAGAGGCAATGGAGTGTCTGATCCTGCAACTGGGTTTTGTGTTGGCAGAATGATTCAGCCTGCTGTACTTCTCCCAGCTGGCTTGAATATGTCTGAGGAGAGAGGTGTCTCAATAGACTACCTTCCTAAAGTAGCCTCCTTGGCCCTTAGTAGAGCAAGAAGCAGTCCTGCAGGTAGGATGTTGTGAGCTTGGCCATCAGCTTGGAAATGAACAACAAGGCAGCTGCTGGCACGTACTGGTTTGCTGAAAGGACTGGGTAAGGAAGGTCAACTCATCAGAGTGCATGTTCATGAGCTCAGCAGCCTGGTTGCACATCCTCTAAGAGCTTCCTTAATTCATGAGTGTAAGCTCAGTGAAAACTGAAGTGGGCAATTACTGATCAAAGCAAAGGGAGTTTCCTTTGTATCCAGTATCTTGGGGAATGTACCAGACACTAGTACCCAGGTCTTAACAGCCCTTTGTTTCCTAAATCAGATTAGCCCCTAATAAAAACCACTAGCACAGAGCATTTGTTATGGGGGTGCTTGGCCAGGAGTCCTTGCAAATAAGCAAGCTGTGTAGCCGTCCATTCGGATTTCTCAGTTGCACTTCTGCAAAGTGGGTTAAATCCTGTTACCCAGGATCTAAGATGCGAGATGCCTGCTCACATCTTGGCTTTAGCCCAGAGTCTAGATTGTGTGGGTATTTGAAGATCCTATTAAGCCAGGGAAGGAAGAGCTGACTTAGATTTTGAAGGACTCTGAACGGAAGAGTCTGTGTGCTGACTCAGGCTTTGTTAGCAGGGGACCAGGTTGGGTGGTCTGCTGCACTGGAATTCACTGGTGGTGGTTTCTTTTCTTCTTAGTCTGTTTTGGGGATCAGCGAGTTTGGGCACTATAATCGGTCAGTTGGAAGAAAGGCTTGACAGCTGAGATGCTTCAGACTGATGTCACTTTCCAAAGACTCCCACCAAGTCCAAAGGTAGACAGACAGCCTGCCCCTAGTGCTTTGTGATGGAGGCTTCTCCAGATATGTATAAAATGGGATTTTTTTTTTTAAAATTAAAAGAATGAATCAATTGGAAACATAACAGCACAGCCTCAGTCAACGGTAGCATTGTTTACACTGCCTGAAATGCTGATGGGATCCAAATGCCTGCAGACAGGTGGACTGTGGTCCTGAGATGCCAGGTGCTGGCTCCCAGACTCTCCAAAAGCCTCAACCTGGGCCTGGTACTTCCTTCTGGAAACTGGCTACTGGGAGCTCAGTGGCAGCCTAAGCTGGGTTGTAAACAAGGCACTATTTGAACAGCTGAAAGTCAGGAGTTTGCAGTGCCCAGCACAAGGGCATACTGAGGCCAAGGTTTTGCTTGATGTGCTCATGCTGAGTTATATGTAGTAGCAAGTGTTCCCACGGATTTTACTGTCTGCCTTTGGTACACGTTTATTAAAAGGTCTTTAGCTCCTACAGTTGACTTCCATTGGATTGATTAAAAGGGGAATTGTTGCCATTAATGTCAGTGGGAATAGACGGAAGGGAGGAAAAATCCTAGAGCCCTGCCTCCGCTCAATACATTCCTTATTCCTGTCTCTGGAAAGAGATGATTTCTTGCAGATTTAGCTGAGTCTCCTTGTTTGCCATGTGCATTCAGCTCCAGGAGTGCCAGTGCTAGCAGGTTCAATGCATTTGAGGAGGAAGACCACCCATCTTGCCACAAGAATCCCTTCTCTTCCCAATGGTTCTGTACAATTGGAGAATAGATTTCACCATGCCAAAACCTCCAGAGCTGTTGGTTTGGGGGTGTTCGCCCTTTCTTAAAAAACACGGGGTCAGCATGCGTCTGTCAGTGATATATCTCATGTACCTCCTGCCATCTGTAGCCAACCCCAGAGTTTCACTTCGTACTACTGTGATCTTCCTGAGAGTTACCATTCTCTGGATCTGATGTGTTCTCAGCCATTATCTGCTTATTTCTCTGTGCATAGTTTTTTGATCCATGTTTTAGCAATACACGTAGCCTTGCCTTTCTTTGACTGAATGTCAGAATGTGATATATTGTATATTTTAAAGTATTTACCCTATTTATATACTGTATGTTACTGTTAAAATAAATATAAATTCCATTATCTGTGGCTAAGTTCATGCTGCGGGGGAGAATGGAGATCACTGTTTAATGTCGCCTAAGATAAATGAGGCACTGGCATTCTCTAGAGCTAAGATGAAAGCAAGACCTATGAATAGAAGGACCTGATTTATCTGTCATTTGTTGGTCTTGTTTCATGCAGCCCCCTCTCCTGATTCACGCCCACTCTAAGTGAACAGAGTCTGCTCCTAGGCTGCAGCCCTTAACTCACTTTACATTTGCATGCACAAATGGAAGTTTCTTGTTCGTGCTCTCTGTGAGACTTGATTTTTTTTTTTTCCTCACTGAGACCAGATGGATGTCTGCCTGTCACAGTTCTGTACAACCGTCCATCACACAATCTCTATGCACCTCCAGGTATTAGCAATCCCATGGCACCTAAAATTGTAAGTCTCTGAAATGGTTAGTTTTCACTGTAATGCATAGTTTTCCCCTTCCCCCCCCCCCCCCCTTCCACAAGGAAGGGTTTTTGTTCTTTTCTTCCCCCCCCCCCACTCAAATAAAACCTGAAATGTAGCCCAAACCAATGTGGGAGCTGCCCGTCATAATACGAGAAGTTCGTCCTCCTTTAAAATAGCTGAACTGTGCAATATAAGGTTCACTAATTCTCAGAAATTATGCCAGTTCATTACTTAGAAATGTTTGGCAGCCCATCTAAGACTCATGGAGGAGTTTGCTGCAAAATGCATATGGAAAAATACTGTCTCCCTGATGGGGCAGGTATACTGGCTTACTAGAAACCACCAAACTAATAAACCACAACACTGAAGTGTATACATGGACTTGATGGTGTGTGGAACTGGGCTGTCCCAACTGACTGTGGTCCTAATAGATGAGCATCCGGGCACCTTGCAGTCTAATGTGTCCTGTCTTTGCAGTGCCCAAGGGAGGCAGTGAAGTGCCGTCATCTCGCACAGGAAACGTGGCAGAACAACGAAAACCCAGGTTTACCAGAGTTTTGGACTTGCCCATTAACAACAGCTGGCATGTCCCTCCATCTGCTTTCACCTGGGTCATGATGTTTGAGGAACATTTTTCCCCCCTTCACTTTTAACACTTCAGTAAATTATGTGTGGCTCTTCCCCGCTTTCAGGTTCACTGCCCATTCCCCTGACCATTAGCTGGGGCCTGTGACCAGGGCTTGCATTTCCTTCAAAGGGTGACTGAATTTCTTTGTCTGGATAACTCATATGCTGCACTTGACATCATCAGGAAGCAGGTAAATAATGGCACCCCTCTGAGTTGGTGGAGGCAGATACATATAGCAGAATAGCATGATCCTCAGCTCCTTGGAGTTTACTGTAGCTGCTGAGTTACGCTAGTTGAGACTCCTGCATAATGGCCACGTCTACATGTTCATTAATGTGCAGTAGTTACGGGGCATTTAGTGTAGTACTTGCTTAATGAAGTACTACCCTAAATGTGCAGTAACTACTGTTACTGTGCAGTAGCGCATGTGCACAATTTCTTAGTGATGCTTACTGCACAGTAGCATATTAGCATGGTTTTTGCCCAGCATGCTCCTGCGCAGTGTTATTAGGCTACTGTACATTAAGTGTCTTGTGTAGATATGCCCAATATGTCTGAAAGCATCTCTTATGTGTATGTTTGTGTGTTGGGTGATTCTTGGCTCAGCCATCTTTTCAGGTTGATTAAGTATTAATCTAGTGGCCCAGTACCAGTGGAGGATGCAAACCTTTGTGCACAAGTCAATCACATCCAATCTTACGGTTAAGCTTTGAGGCATCAGTTTTAGTGAAATAAGGATGTCAGCAACTTCCTGCACATGAAGACCGGAACGCTTCTCTGAAATGCAAGTCATTGCCTCTTGTGTTGAACAGTCTCTTCAACAGCCCCCCCTTAATGGTTGGTTCCCTGACTAGGTGGCTTCCTGCATTTCCAGATTGCTTCTTCCCCAGCAGAGGACACCCATACCTTTACAGAGCAGCTAATGAAATTTCATGGAAAATCAGCTCCTTCATTGCTAAAAACAAGCCCATGTGATTTTGCAGTAGGGATGCAATTCTCTATCTGTCTCTAGGATAGTTCAAACACTTCTGAAAGAGGGAAATAACTTCCCATGAAACTCTTTTTTTCCAAAAGGGTTTCTGGGAAAAGTTCTTACTCATTTCATCCATTTTAAATCCATAAGGGTACATAACATCAAACAGGAAGTAACATAAAAGTTTTCTAGGGAAACCAAAGTCCTATGATTGCATACTTTCAGATCTCCCTTGTAGCAGTGCTGTGTCTAGCTGCACTGAAATATACACATGGAATAGGCCCAGACTGTGAACCACTGTTGTCTCTGAAGTTAATGTGAAGTGAATACATAGCTCTGTTGCCTTGTATGCTGTGACATCTTGCATCTTGTTCATGCAGCCTAGTGGCGCTGGGAACTGAAATGCTGAGTTTTTCACTATGTAAAATGACTTTTTCACAAAGAAAAAAAACTTTGGAAAAGAAAAGGCCATAAAAATGCTGCCAAAAATGAAACTGAGACACTGTTTCTTTCCAGTGATGTTAATAAAATAGTACAAAGAATAGATTGTAATATTTTTACCAAGTTTGCAATATTATGTTAGCACACTGGTCTATAACATCTTAAACCTGTATCAAATCAGGTAGGATTCTGGTGTGGTTGCAAGCAAATACTCCAGCTGCAGAGAGAGATGCAGTTGCCTCTGAGGTGGGGCATGGGATTGGATAAACCCTGCAAAAGGGAGGCTGCCTCGGTTCAAGAAAGGATGTTATGTTCTGTTGAAATAGCAGGGCGCAGCCTGAAAGCAGCGCTGTATTTTGGTCTCAACTTCAGGAGAAAGGAAGTTCAGGAGCAGCTACTGAATCTAAGATACCATGATTGGTGCTCCATCATGATCACTCAGATTTCCCCACAATCTCGTGTTGTCACGTTACCAGCAGTTTGGGCAGTGGAATAACAGAGACTTGGGAATGTTTGACTTGACTCGAGCTGCTGTATTCTGGGGCCGATGTGGTTTATGCACAGAGAATTTCTTTCCCTGTGCATCAGTAAGTTGATTTTTAATGTAGACTTTATTATATATCTAAAGCACACTTAAAGAAGGGTAAATGAGCCTGTGACAGGAAACCCAAGGCTGAGTTTATTCATTGCTTTGGTGACCTAGAGAAATACCCTGTAGGGCACCAGCTAGCAGAGAGGATTACTGAAGAGTAAGAGGCTGTGGCATTTTCACTGCTGTGCTACTAATTTAATCCCTTTGCTTTGCTTAGCAGTGACCCCAGGCCCGGGTTAGTGGAGGCTGATTTGGTGGCCCATATGGTGTGAACTAGTGCCTTCATTTGGAGACCAGCATCTCACCAACCCCACCCCAGTGCGACGCTTCTGCTGATTTTCCTCAATGGATTTGATGCTGAGGAACCTGCTGTCCAAATGGTTGCTGTGTCCCCAGCTCCTCTTTGCAGCTTGCGTGCATTTCTTTCACAGCCTGATCATCTCCTATTCTGAACCTGACAGTACAGGACCTCAGGGCAACATTTCCTCATTGCTTTAGGGCTGGGAAGATGTGCAGCTCTGAGACAGACCCTTATTGTGCCCCTGCTAGACAGGGTCACTAATCAGGCTGTCAGTGAAATAACACTTCAGATCCTGGTAGTTCCTGGGCTGTGAATCCACCAGTCCTACTAATATGCCACCCTTCCAGCTTGCTTAAAGCTGGTTCACCAGGCCCCTGCACTCGGCAAATAGGTGGCAACAGGAAACTACTCCAAGTCCTCTTTCACTGCATTATATTCATGACCTTAGCTGCTACTTCTGTTTGAACAACTCCCCCTGCCTACCCCTCTCACTGGCCTTTTCCAGCACGTGGTAATTTTTTTTTTTTTTTTTGAAAGAACAGATATTTCTTTCTACACTACCCTATATTTCACAACCGACACCTTAATTAAGCGCGGGTAGGCCGTTAAATTTACTTTTCCTTAGTGTACAAGAGGAGAAGCCCCCTGCTTGGGGAGTGCTACAGGTGCTTTGCTAATGCAAACAGGAAAGTTGTCAGCTCCCCTTGCAAATATTAAGGCTTTGTTTTGTACTGAAAGATCTGTGTGATGCCCCTAGTAGGGATAGGCACTTCTGCTCTCTGCTGGATAGAGTCAGAACTGCACAGTCATGTATCAGACACCCTGCACTGCTCAGGGCTACAAGGATTCGAGTTTTCCTGGCTCAGAGCTCTGGGCAGTAGAGATACTAAGGTCTGCCCCAGCTGCTTAATATAAGGACTTAGTGGTGGTAGGGAGGGGCCTGCACTGAAACAGCTGCATCCATGCCAACGCTGGGAGTTGAAATGCTGCCCTGGTATCAAGGGTATAGGTCGTAGCCGTGTTGGTCTAAGGACTTCGGCAGACAGGATTCTTTGGGTAAATCCAATATCTTTTATTAAACCAACTCCAATAGTTGGGAAAAAAATCCTTTGCAAGCTTTTGGGTACATACACGCTTTGGCAGGCTTAGAGACCCCCATGAATCACACACCCCTAGTTATGACATATCACCCCTCCCTGGAACCTATACAGAAAACCCTCAAACAATTGCAACCCATACTGGAAGAAAACCTAATTCTTAAAGAGATCGTCCCAGAACCCCCCCATCCTAGCCTTTAAGCAAGCACCAAACCTCGCCAACCTCAGCACCAGAAGTAAATTTCCTATGGCCCCAAACATTACCAAATGGACCCAGACCACCCATGACAAGAAATGAAAAGCCTGCCAACATATCTCCACCACCCCCACAATAACTACACACCACAACAGAACCATCACCTCCAGAAATGTTATATAACTCATCCAGTGCACCAAATGCCCTGATGGAAAATCTGTAGGAGAAACCAAAAAAAACCAACTGTATGCCAGAATGAATGCACACCGAAAATCTATCAAAGACAAGAATACCCAATTACCTGTGGGGACGCATTTCTGTGGGCAGTCGCTGCTCACCACCCCCGACTGGCCACCGACACTGCCGGCAGCGT